TCCAGGTCGGCCGCTTGGCTGCTGCAACATGCCATCACCGTCCTGGTCAGTCCTTCCGATGTTGCAGCCCCGTCCACGCAGTAGATGCCTTTCCTCGGCCCCTGCGGCCTCCCGGCCTTGTCGGTTGTGCGGGCCGGCCGAATGACCACGGGCCGACGGCTCGACTGGTCCTCGCTCGCGGCAGCCTTTGCTGGCTCCTCCCCCGACGTCCGCGGTCTTCCCTGGCCCTCCGCGGCTTCCACTCGCCGACTTCCGGATTCCAGGCTGGTTCGTGGCAAACGGCAGGTCTCTGCATGCTCCCCGCCTCGCCCTCGCGCTGGGCGACGCCGACTGAGGCCTCTGCGACCCGAGCGAGGTAGGCGGCAGCACGGAGAAACGAGGGGAGGGGGGTGGGTCGTACCTGCTGGCTGGAGCGATGCTGGAGGAGAGCTGGGCGGCTGCGGTGGCGTTCTGCTGTTGGGCGGCTATGGCGGTGTTCGGCTGCTGCGGGCTTTGCGACTCCCCCCCCCAGCGAATGGCAAGCCCCGTGGAGCTTGACAGATATGGCTTCTCTCCTGTGTGGATCCTCTTGTGGGAATTAAGACGATCAGTAGGACTAAAGCTCTTTCCACGGTCCATGCATTTATAAGGTCTTTTTCCGTTGTGATTTCTATTCATTCATTCATTTCATTTATTCAATTTATATCCCGCCCTTCTCCCGAAGGACTCAGGGCGGCTCACATTTTTAAAAACAAAGACAAACCCACACACCCCACCGAATAAAACCAAATTAAAACCAATTTTTTAGAGTTGTGGTAATTAAAATTTCTAAGAAACCCAATTTAAAATCCTCCTTAGGCCAGGCCCGCTTGTTGGAAAAGCCATGTCTTGAGGGCGCGGCGGAAAGTAAGGAGATCCGGAATCGTCCGGATCTCGGGGGGTAGTTCGTTCCAGAGGGCAGGGGCACCCACAGAGAAGGCCCTCCCCCTGGGGGTCGCCAGCCGACATTGTTTGGCCGACGGCACCCTGAGGAGACCCACTCTGTGGGAGCGTACCGGTCTATGGGAGGGAATCTGTGGCAGAAGGCGGTCTCGGAGGTAGCCAGGTCCTATGCCATAGAGCGCTTTAAAGGTGGTAACTAACACCTTAAAGCGCACCCGGAAGGCCACTGGCAACCAGTGCAGCTCGCGCAACAGCGGCGTTACATGGGAGTGACGAGTCCCTCCCAACACCGCCGCGCGGCCGCATTCTGGACCAGTTGAAGCCTCCGGGTGCTCCTCAAAGGGAGCCCCATATAGAGGGCATTACAGTAGTCCAGGCGGGAGGTGACGAGGGCATGAGTGACTGTGCGCAGAGCGTCCCGGTCCAGAAAAGGCCGCAACTGGTGGATCAGGCGAACCTGATAAAACGCCCCCCTGGTCACGGCCGACA